TTTTTTTTTTTTTTTTTTTTTTTTTTTTTTTTTTTTTTTTTTTTTTTTTTTTTTTTTTTTTTTAAATTAAGAGATTGTAGTAAATGGAATGAATTAAAAGTAATTCCCAAAAATGGAAAGCTTTTTATGAAATTGAGACCAAAATTGATCCTCAGAAATACAGGAGGATCAACATTTTTAATAATAATAAGACTTTGCCTAAAATTGTCACATTTATCTACTTCAATTTTATGACCCAAAACAAGAATGAAATGAAAATGTTGCACTCAGAAAATTACTGAATCCCGTAAAAAAACTTTTTCATAACACGCGCAATATAATGATAAATATTGCCCAACTTAACCGTAGAGGATTTTTCCGATAAATTTTCTTTATTTAAATGTCTTATAAAAAAAATTTCAATAATTCTGACAAAACGGAAGAATTAGTTAAAGTAATAAAAAAACTCCATAAGCCATAGTAAATTCTTACAGAATTTATCGCACCCTATCCCTAACAGCCGAGCGTTGCTGGACCTAGCAACACTTTTCTTTTTCAATTTATTTATAAATTCTTTTATTTTGCATCACCGAGGGGAAAATTCGCTCTAGGTCACACGCATTATTCAAAGTGGAAAATGAATGATGTCTAATTGCGACCTCATTCTTAGCAAGCAAAAATGGACGATGTAACCGAAAAATCAATTCTATTAATTGGTGTCGAAAGTGCAGCCCAAATATTCCCGACAGGCCACCTCTCCCGATTTTTAGGGATATTAACAGCTTTAGATCTATCCATTTCCTTGGAGTGCACGATTGCAATCTCCTCCCTATATCCCAAAAAAATATTTGATCACTCCACCGATGCAACCGCATTTTTGGTCGGCTACAAAATCAGGAATATGCGGTCCAATCTCGTTCACCTTTTTTGTATAAAAAGAAGAGAGGGCAAATTCTAGTCAGATAAACGAAGAAATCCAATTTTTTTTGGAGATTTTGGAACATTACAAAAACAGACGATTTACTCCGACTGCAGAGAATAAGGTCTCCGGATTAAGAGCATTGCCGCTCCAGATAAAGTTCAGCGGGTCACGGACACGACAACGCAAGGCACACGCGAGAACCCTACCACGAAAGAAAAAGGAAAAGGAAGGAAAACAAAGGAACGAAACTCACCAAGAAGAAAATGTGGAAAGGACGCATGGTTGTGGGGGCACCAGATTCGTCTATGAGGCGCCGATGATGGAACACTCCGGCTGATTGGATTTTCTGGTGACTGGTGAGGGTACTATCGCGCACCGTTGCGGGGCTGCCAGATGGCCCCGCGCCAACCAACGAGAGAGGAGAACCTGCCGGCATCAGGTGTTGCCTTTACTCTCGCCGTCAAAGATGAATCTGCAATTTTGTAAAAAGGGCAAGTGGCACGCTACTTTGGAACAAATCTAACACTGAGGTCAGCACCGAATAACACTTAAGTCAGTGCCGAAAAAGACTGAGGTCAGTGAAAAAAACCACTGTTATCGGTATTACCTGTGTCAGCTCAGTGCTCACGAAGACTGATCATAGTCTGATCAGTGGTTGCTCTGAGATTAGTCCTCATGAACACTGAGCTGACACTGATCAAGACCGATATCAGAGTTTGTTGCACTGACAACAGTCTTTTTCGGCACTGACTAAGTGATATTCGGTGCTGACCTCAGTTTGAACTTGCTACTTGAACAGCACTACAAGCTTTCACTTGTAGTGCTGAAAATTCTGAGTTTTTTTTAATTGAAATAAATTTGTTTTTCTTTCTTTATGTATCCAGATTTTTAGGGGGCAATTTTTTGGGGCCACGTTGGCGCAGAGCTCTCATTTTTTAGGCACAATATTTGCGCGTTGGCGCCTGTGAGTTTCGAACACTGGTCATAGATTTTCCTCTGTGTGGCTGCATTTTTCTGGGAGAGGTTCCACTTTTGCGTTAGGAAATGCTTTCTTGGTCGCTTGTCCTCTGCGTTTCGTATTATCAATTCAACTTGGCAAGAGGGGGTAGGATTAAAGGCCTCGAGGACCTGAAGCGTATGAATGCAGATATCGAGAGTGAAGAGAAGACGCTAGACGCAGGAGTAGGGCACTTGTCGCTATCACTTGAACTTGGAGAGAGACGCGCGCTTTGATTGTTTCCCGGATCCCTTTATGACCCCACTTGAAAGTTAAGACGGACGTATTTTTGCCAAACGGAACTAAGTGCATTAATCATGAGCCCTGTGACCCATAAGAATATGTGCATATTAGGACTCACGTCATAATGCACATAGGTCTGTTTCGCAGAAATATGTCCAGTTGGCATTCGACAAGATTGTCGCGTCCCAGGGAAAAACGCCGTATGTACCATCGTGCCTCGCCAAAATTTCCTATGATGAAATATAAACTGCCTTAAGATCCTGTGGATTTATATCTTGGAATATTTCAAAGAATGCATTTCAATGTTGGCTCTCTGAAAAGTTTGAGGAAGAATATTCATGAACTTTTCTTAGGAATACGGCCCAATCTCGTTCGCCTTTATGTATAAGAAGGAAGAAGGGCAAATTCTAGTCAAATGAAGGAAAAAATTCAATTTTTTTGGAGAGGATTTGGGGACAGGAATTTTCTCTTTTCTCTCTAAACATCTGGGGAAATTTCGCAATCTTTCAATACTCTTAGGACGTTCTTCCGTAAAAATATAAGAATATAATATAATTCCTTATTTAAGGCACTTTCCTGATTTTGCAGATGTATGTGGACTAGGGCGCCAGACAGGCAAGCATTAATATTTTTCTATGAACATGAAAGAATGATAATGAAAGAATAATTTGAGGAAAGAATTTATCCTGTTGAGGAAAATTCATTTTTTTTTATTTCTTTTTCTTTTTCAAAATTAGCGAATCTCCCTTTTTTTCAAAAAAAAAAAAAAAAAAAAAAAAAATTCACGTCAAACACTGCTATCGTCTTTTACTGGAAACCTGATTTTTTTCCGTACAAAACTGAGTTTTTGACTTTTCCAATATGGAAAGTTTTTGACGTACGCGCCATCACCACGTGCCGGCGTAAATAAATTTTACGTAGCCTCTTCAATACATTTTACATTAATCAAGATGATAATCATGAAGATAAAGTGGTGTTTTAAAGTTGCAGTGCTTTTCACTGCCGTGGATGTATCCTTTGGTCATGTGTTTAGCGTTTACAAAAATTCTTGCCCTGGACCTTTCTATTTCAAAAAATAATCATAGCTAAATACCTACTTTTCGAAAGCGCTGCGTTTAAATTAGTGTATCGATTGGAAAAGCAGATATGATCACCAAGTGGTCGAATTACGAATGTAAACAGAGCTAAGGTGTCAAAGACGTGATCCAAAAATAGACGTATAAAGCCGGTGATGGATGATAGCGCCTTGATGCAACTATTCGCGCTCTAAGGATGTCCGTGTTGCATGTTGAAAATTGAAGGCGCTTTCAATTTGGCCGGCCCTGAATCAATACACGCGGTGGACCGCGCCACTGCGTCGTCGCGCCAGTTGATATAAATGGATGGAATAAGTGATACTTATCTAGATCGACAGATTAAAAAAAGAAAAGCCCATTCACACTCAGTGTTTTGGGAATGGTATAATTTGTCAGAAAAGGACTCACTTGAAACCGGAGGAGACGCCAAGCGTATTGTGAAAAAAAAAATTAAATTTTTTTTTTGAAAACTCTAAGTTATACTCAGAGAGCGTTTCCCCGGTCTGAATGTCCCGAAGACATCGCAGAAAAAAAGTGTCAAGGGATATCCCCTTAAATTGTGGTATTACCCTAATTAGTTGGATGACACGGAACTTTCCAATGAATTATGGTAGTATCGTAACATCTGGGTTAGTAACCTGATTTATCGGGGTACTTACTTCCACAATTAATTAGAGCACTGCCAAAATTAATTGGAAATGTCCACAGCATCCAAAATTTGCAACAGCCCCGTATTCTTTTTCTCTGTGATATTTTAAATGAGTTAGTCTCGAAAATGAAACATAGACATTCCACACGGCACCATCTTTTTTTCATAAAAAAAAAAATCACACTGGTTTAAGTGTGGGCCGCTCACAAGATACGTAACGCTAAATTTCTAATTTTTCGACCCTGATGACTCTAATCCCTACCTTTCCACGGCTAAAAACAAATTGGCGTAATGCTCTTCTTTAAGCGTAAGAAGTTTCGAAAGAGCTGCAAGTATTCTACTGACGATACCTGACGGGCTTTGCACTTAAGGCGTAACAAATCGACTCATTCCAACCACAGAGAAAAAAAAGGAGGTGTTTGCATTTCGGGCATTTTGGAATTTTTTTGATGAAGTAGGTCGGCACAGCGACTTTTATGATCGATTTTCTTGGAAATGGTGTAATTTATGGGAAGAATTCATCCTATAAAAAGTGCTTGAAATTATATCATCAGTTGATTCAAGCAATAAAAATGGCTCACTATGGTCCGTTTTTCATCATACTTCGACTTCCGGATTTCGTTGGCCAGGTTGTACCGACCTACGTCACAAACAAACCTCAGGATCAGAGGCGGATCCAGCGATTTGGCAACATTGGATCACCTCCATTTAAACTTATGCTAAATAATGGATTTTTTTCGGAGCATCTGGCCCCTCCAAGAATCGATACATTTCTATAGGTTTGAACGGAGAAAAGGCAATGTTGCCAATTTGCTGAATCCGCCAATGTTCAAGATGCGAACACCTCCTTTTTCTTCTCTATGCATTTCAACGGATTGAATCAACATTGTCAATTTCTTGTGATCGGTCCACGGAGTTTCTACGCTTTCCGATGACGTCACAATGAACGAATTTATCGGGAACGGAGCATTAAGAGCGGGTGGTCCTCGGGTTGGAAATCCGGGCGCGTTATCGGTCCCTTTTGTCGAGGTTCACTCGGATGCATTGCCATTGCGATGAAGCGCGCGGCGGCCCTAGATGATTTGCATTTGGCGTTGATACATCCAAATGAAGCGCCCCGCAGCTCGGCCCACAGAGAAACGATACGCGACCCCCCGCCGCTATCCTGTCCACGCTCTCGCTGCCGAATCTATCCGGGTGTCTTCAATTTCGCGCGGGTTATCGACGCAGATTCCTCGCAGGCGATATACAGGGTGTTTCAGATTTCGGCCTTGTCTCCGCGGGATGTTTCAAGGGATTTGTCCCTGGGAAAAATCCCACTTACGAAGTTAGGAAAAATATTGAGTTAATCAATATTTTTCCCAGTACCAAGTATGGTCCTTATACCCCTAGGACCCATTGAGAGAGGAAGAAGAAGGGAAAACGAATTGTGTTATATTTTATTCATTACTTCATTGTTAATGTTGGTTTAGTTAAAATAATGTGTCTGATTGTCAATTGAGTGCAATTCGTATTTTAATCATGGTTAAATATTCGAATTTAACTAATTTATCTTCCCGCGCAAACTAGTCGCAGGACTGTATGAGCCCCGTCCCGTGGAGACGGTAACTGGGAAAAATCCGAGAACTTTCATTCCTGCGATTCGAACTTGGGACAAATCCCATGAAAACGTCTCGTGGAGAAAAGGCCTTCCAGTGCCAGACTTTTTTCTAAGTTGTTTTAGGTCGTACGAAGTCAGAGACTGCCAGGTTGAATTTGATATCGACCCCAAAGAATCCGAGTTTCATGGTCCCGAGACCCCCTCCCCCCAGCTAGCCTTGGGGGAGGGTAAAGGGGAAGATCATGATCTTAAAAGTCGGGGTTTCCGACAGAATTGCGATTTAATTGCATCAGACCTATTTTCGGNGGGGGGGGGGGGGGGGGGGGGGGGGGGGGGTTCGGAGTTTCTTCAGAATCGGTGATTTCTTACATTGCTGGTACAAATTAAAAAATCTCATCGTGATTTTTCATTTTGATGAAAAAATGTCAAAATCTTGACGGAAAACCCGAATTTTAGGTGCGGCCCGCTCCCCTAAACTTCCCAAAGGAACTCACTGATGGTCCGTTACCATGAAATTCTAAATCCTTGGTGTCAATTTCCTAGGATACCATACCATACCACCCTTTCCTGGACTTTTCGGGTCTTTGACTTCGTTCGATCTTGAAGGACCGAGAAAAGAGCTTTGTACAGTGCCGATTCTCGTGTGCGCTCAACTGGAGTACTCCCCGCTTATTTGAATTTTGGCGCGTCAATTCGTATATTTTTCCGAGCGCGGCACGAAATTGGCGGGAACCAATGGGAGTGAAGTTTCGATTTGTTTACATTCGCGTTATTTTTTGATAACAGGTTGTAAACAAACGTGGTTCTTCATCTTCTCGTGAGTGTCGGTGTCGTGAGTAAGTCCCTAGAATATTCAAATATGAACGAGGTTCTTGATTTAATGCTTCAGTGCGAAGTAGTTTTTATT